ACCCGGGTGTCTCTCCTTGCCCAGGGAGCCCATCTGGCCATGCCATGGGYGCAGCAGGCGTGTACTACGTCATGGTGACAGCTCTCCTCTCTGCTGCTGGGGGAAAGAAGCAGTCAAGGACGCTTGGATACTGGTAAGCTTTGTGCCAAAATCACCTGTGCCAGACAGAGACAGCTCCAGTAGTGCCGGGCACAGCCAGGCCCATCAAGGCATGAGGCTGTGGGCAGACAGCCCAGGTAGGCTCAGCAGGCAGCCAGGCATTGTTTGGAGTGTGTGATGGCAGTGCCTGGGTGGTGTGAGCTGGCCCTGGCACCAACACACCTCCTGTCCCTCACAGGGTGCTGTGGGCAGTGCTCTGGATGGGGTTCTGGGCAGTCCAGGTCTGTGTCTGCATGTCCCGAGTCTTCATTGCCGCTCACTTCCCCCACCAGGTGATTGCAGGGGTTTTCTCAGGTGAGTGTGTGGGACCCCAAACCCTTTCCCTGTGGCACCACCATGCTGGACTATGGCACCTGCAGCACTGACCAATGCTCCCGCTGTGTTACTGGCAGGGATGGCCGTGGCCAAGACTTTCCACCATGTCCGCTGCATCTACAATGCCAGCTTCGGTCGGTACCTGGGCATCACAGTCTTCCTCTTCAGCTTCACTCTGGGTTTCTACCTGCTGCTCTGGACATTCGGYGTGGACCTGCTGTGGACGCTGGAGAAGGCACAGAGGTGGTGCAGCCGCCCCGAGTGGGTCCACATCGACACCACCCCGTTTGCCAGCCTCCTCCGTAACCTGGGCATCCTCTTCGGGCTGGGGCTGGCCCTCAACTCCCACATGTACCGGGAGAGCAGCCGCTTGAAGCAGGGCCAGCAGCTGCCCTTCCGCCTGGGCTGCATCGCCRTCTCCCTGCTCGTGCTCCACATCTTCGACTCCTTCAAGCCCCCCTCGCACATGCAGCTGCTCTTCTACGCCCTCTCCTTCTGCAAGAGCGCGGCCGTGCCGCTGGCTGCTGTGGGCCTCATCCCCTACTGCCTCTCGCAGCTCCTGGGCACGCAGGACAAGAAGGCTGCCTAAGGCAGGGAGACACGCCGGCCCCGGGCTCAGGGTGCAGCTCAGACACCGTTCAATTCCCGCTGGTTCTGCACTGGGAGCGGGCCATGGAGGCTGGGCTGGTGCTGCTGCTGGGGGGGCTCCCAGCACGGACTCTTGGTGTCAGCTCTGAGCCTGGCTGATGGCACAGAGAGCCCTGCACGCCCTGGACTGCCCTGCTGTCCCTCCTGCACCCACAGGTGGAGGTCACCTGCCCAGGACCCAGCAGCAGCAGCAGCGACCCTGCACTCCCTTGCAGCTCGTGGGGACATGCCAGCTGCGCGCTGCAGGGCTGGGGATGGCACCGCTGGGAGCAGGGTTCTGACCCCTGAGCACCTGGGGTCTGCTCAAGAGGCAGCTCTGTGACTGACTGGACTGTGACATGGAGATAAAGTGCCCAGATAAAGTGATGGACTCCCCCCGCCCTGGGACATTCAGTGTTCACCCCAATGTGGGGTGCATGCACACCCACATGTGCACACAAAGAACATGTATCCATGCACACAGGACGTGGGGTTTGCCTGTGCACAGGAGGTATTTTATTAAAGCTGAAGGTTGTTTAGATGGTGAGTTTGGGTGTCCTGCTGGCCAGAGCTGTGGGATGAGGGATCAGCTCCTGGGTGCAGGGCTGTGGTATGGCCTGCACATGGCAGGGGAAGAACATTTCTCCTGGGTGCTGAGGAGCCTCAACACCTGCAAGACACATTCAGGCCACTGGGAAGGGCACTGCTTGGTGCCCTGGGTCTTTACCTTTTGCCCTGAGGTGCACAGCACTGGTGCATTGACAGCAGGATGAGGGCAATGAGCTGCTTTTTGTGCTGTCCATCCCAGGTTTCTGGGTGTACCTTGTGCCAGGAAYAGGGACAAACTTGTGTCACCTTGCTGCTCACAGAAACAAGCTCAGCTTTGGGACCAACTGGCTCAGATGGGGCTGTGCTGAGTCCCCAGGGTGGTGGGGACAGAGATTTGGGCATTTGGCTGTGCTGCAGGGTTGGGCCCCTCCCACCTCAGTATCTCAGCCCCCACCTCGGCCCAGTGTTCACTCTGCAGCAGGAAATCCTGTGGGTTCAACCTGCCAAAACCCATTCTAAAATTCAGGCTGTGCAGCCTGACTAACAACTTTCTCAGTAAACATCCTCGCTCAGTCAGAGATAGCTGAAAACAGGGAAGTGCAGATACTTTCTCCCTGCTGGACTGTGTGTGCATGTGCAGGATCACCCCCAAAGCACCAGCCCCTGCACCCAGGAGTGTTCCCTGTGCTCTGATGCCATCCCAACAGCTCAGCCACAGGCTGTGGCCATGCAGTAGTCACAGCAGCCATGGGTGGGAACTGGATCTGCTGGGGCTGCTTCATCCCCTCGATAAACTTCCCCAYAGATAAACTTCCTTAGGATGGAGGTTTCTTTTATTCTATTTCTTTGTTTATTACTGACATCTGGAGTAAACCTGTCATGCCATTTCTAGCAGGAAGGGSAAGGGTAAATCCTCAAATTACTTGTTGTGCCCTGTAGTAGCTCCACAGCGCCCTTTAGTTCCTCCAGCGGGGACTGCAGCAGCTCCGGGCAGGAAAGATGAGCTGAGGGAACCCCGGGAACAGCTCTGCCTGATCCAGAGGGAGTTTACAGCTGCATCAGCTCGAGACACTACTGAGGGTCAAAAAACGACCAGAAACAACTGTGCCTCAAAGAGGGAAAGGACTTGGTACATGGTGGGGAATGATCTCCTGCCTGTGGAGCACCTGCTCACCCTTCCAGCTGCTCTCTACCCCTGCCCAGGCCAAGCTGTCTGGGGGGACCAGCTGCCTCTTGCTTGAGGATTCATGCCAAGCAACCCCTCCTCAGCAACCGGTGCAAAGCAAAATGCYAGCAGGAGGCCCCTTCTGGGTTTAGGAACCCTACAAAGCAGTTAACTAAGGACTACTTTAATCCCTGTACCATTTGTCTTGAGAAATGAGCCCTTGCAGCAAAGCATCGATGGCAGATCCCCTCCCTGTTACTGTTTGGTTCCACCAAATCAGCCCATGCAGGGCATGTGCAGACCAGCTGTGGGGTTCAGGTCTTTATTSTCTGCTAGAGAAGAAACAAATGGAAGATGGTCCTACTTTGAGAGTTGTTTCTTATGATTCAGGCTTTTGATGGCTAACGAAGTCCTGGAGCAGAGCTTGCACTTCTCCTCGACGGCTCATCTTGGTTGCCTTGCCCTGGAAGCGGCCRCGTTTGCCAGCTCCTTTGCCACCCAGCAGCTCTGCCACCCTGCAGGGACAACGACAACACCACAGGTGAAKCCCAGCCTGCTCCAGACACCAAACACAGACCCGTGCCTGGATCACACCAGGCAGATGCTCAGCCTGCAGCATCAGAATTCTCACTTGTGTTAAACAAATCATAAAATGTGTTACCTGGGACCTAAATTCTCAACTGCTTCAACAGGTCCGGCTAGAAGGAAGAGTCCTGCTTCTTTTTCATCTCCCACAGTCAGGAATAGCAGGGTTTCCTGTGGACAGAGGTGGGCCTTGTTCCAGATAAATCTGTGCCCTCCTTGTYCAAGAAGAGGGCAGACACTGGCTACAGCATGCAAACAGCAAACTGACAATTCAGAAGTCTATGTGCATTACTGAGACTGAGACTTGAAAAAAGTAAAAGAGAAATGGCATCTGAACCTTTTGTGCTCAGTCACATGCTGTTGGGACAGAGAATTACCAGGGTATCCCAAGTTAAAAGGATACAGCTGGCAGTTGAACTAGGTGATTGTGAYTGGAACTTTCTATTCTTTCTGTCCTACTCCTACCTAATCCTATCCTAACCTRTATCAGCCAGTGAGGCTCTGTACAGCTCTTGGGGGCTGAGGCTCTTCCCCAGTGCTCTGAATTCTCACTGTTGAGGATTGCCCTACAGACTGAGGGTGTTGGGGACAGGTAATAACCTCAGGTTATTAGAGCTCGTGGCTCGGGCAGGAACAGCAACCTGGCCAGCCTCTGTCTGGATATCACTGGAGTGAAAAACCTGTGGTGTCAGTTCAGTCTTCATCAGCCACTCACCTCTGTCCCAATCTCATTAGCGATGATGTTCATAAATTCAGAATCACCCTCTTTCCTGTGTGGATGGATAAAAAAACACCTCAGAAAGAAGCAAAACCCACTCTAGAATACAAAATCTCCATCAGAAACCAAAGGCCTGATCAGGGGTTTTGGTCTCTTGCTCTTAAGATGAAGATTAGGTTTTGTCTATATATGTAAATCCTCACTGGGCATTCCTACGGACATGTTAGGAATTATTTGTTATCTTTGAGAAATAGAGCTCCCTGGTTTTATTTGGAAATATCAAGTGCACAAGGAATTAGACCCAGTAATTTCTCAGCTACAAAASCAGAAGAATTCAGTGACTGAATTACAAACAGATTCCTTTAATTACACAAWTTTCCAGCAAGCCAAGGCAGATTAATATTCTATTAACTTTGTTTACATTCTTCCTCRAGAAAACAAGCTGAACAGGAGATGAAACTGCCATAAAATGTGTCAGATACTGCTGGCCCCTCTTCCCTGAGCTCCCCCTTACCTGTGCAATACAAACAGCTGCCTTGGAGCAGGTTTGCTCTTGAAGTCCCGGGCTATCAAAACAGCAATGTCTCTAAGCAGRTTCAGGTTATTCTGAAAGAAAAAYAAATTAACTSTAYTGCAGCTGMRRAARTCAGTRTGCACACTGCAGTTGTGTCCCCRGAGGTTCGAGCACTTTTCATAATATCCTCAAAAACTGAAGCCTGGGATTTGATTCCCAGTTACCACAACTAAAGCTCTAAAGCTCAGGTCTACAGGAAATAGTGACAACCCACTTTTCCCAGCCACTCTTRTACCTTCTGGAGCAGTTTCACAGAGCTCTGCAGTCTCCTCACAGCCTCTACGTGCTCACCCGGCCCATTTCTGAAAGAAATGGGAGACTTTGGATCACTGCTCTGAAGGACAAAGGAAGGATTTCCTAAGGGAGCCAAACAGGGAACATCATAAAGAGCCCCACAAGATGTACCCTGAGGCTTATGTGGGTATCTGTCATGAGGGAGAGTAAAGGTGAAATAACGTTAAGTGGAAAGGGTATTACTTGAGCAGGGAGGTTAGAGCCTTTTCAGTACTGTGACTTTGTTCGATTGACTTCAGCACTCTGTTTCCTGCCAGGAAAACCAAGTTGGTTTTGTTCTTTTTCCCTTTTTCCACACCAAGGAGTTTAATAACCTTAAAAAGAAAATCAACCTGGTCAGAACAGAATACACACAGGTGGTCAGCTCCTGACAGATTATGCCTTGTGATGAACACTGCACCTCTGCCAGTGAAAAAAAAATTGACTAATATCAACCATGAAGTCAACATACAAAAAAAAGGCATGGTGGTAGTGGAATTTATGCAATTCTCTAACCACGGGATGCACTCTACACATCCAGATGCAAATCTGATGTCTCTGCTGGGAAACAGATTCCAACCAATGACTTAAACCAATGACAAGYACTTAAGGGCAGGTCTAGAATTCTATCCATGATGAACACACAAAAATATCAGAGCCTTAAGCAGAGGGAAAGCAGCCAACACCTCTGGCAGTGCAAGAATATCACTGCTGCACACAGGGCTGAATTCTGCTACAAGCAAACAAAACAGCCTGAGGCTCCCAGGCTGTGTGTGACTCTCCTGGGGCTCCCTCAGCCTGGGGCTGCTGCCACCCCCTTCCCCATCAGGACAGACTCRAGCAGCCTGTGGATCCCAGGGACTTTGGCTGTGTTCTGTGTGGCTCCCAGAGGCAGCCCAGCTGCCACAACCCACCTGCAGGTCACTCAGGTTGGAGACGTGAGTCCCACAGCACATGTTGGAGTCGATGCCTTTGATGTCCACAACACGCACTGGCCCTACGTGGTCATCGGGCAGYCCCCGGCTCTTCACCTGCCAGAGAGCAGTGACAAACAAGGTGACATCTGTGCTCGGTTATTTCGGTCCCACGAATACCATCAGCTCTCTCCCACCACTCACTGTTTCAATTTCAGGGTCACCTGSAGCCAGTTCTCTCACTGTTACAGGGACCCTGTCTCGGATTTTCTCGTTCACGCTCTTCTCCAGGGCCTCCACCTGCTCTGCTGTCACCACGGGGGTGTCCAGCTCAATGACACTTCGCTGACGGCCCAGCTCCCTGCACCAAGGCAGAACAACTCCTGCTGTAGCTGAGACCAGCTGGGAGGTCCCTTTGTGCAGCACCACCATCGCACTGATGGGAGTGCAGTGACTGAAACAAAACAGACTTCCCTCCTTCCCTATGGTGTTCAAAGCACCAGATAGAAACCAAACACTTGAGGAGGACAAAACACAGCAAACACTTTGTACAGCTKCTCTCCAGGTCAGTCACCTCTCCCACCACATCTGAGCCCAAGTGAAATGTCCACATTGCTTTTGGAGTTTCAATGTTCAGACTCTGCACAGGGTAGCACTGTGGCATGTGCCAAACCAGCAAACACTGAGTTCAAAAGAAACCTTTATCCTGCTCACCATGAAGTYGTCTTGAATCCAAACATCTGTTCTGCAATGGCAGAGATGAGATGCTGTCCTGGAAGAGAYGTGCAAGCACTAGCTCTGAGTGCCACTGGTATTTTCAGTCAGGCTGTGTCCTCCCTGCTGCCATTCTCCACAACAGGTGAGTGCTGGGTGCTATGGGGCTCCTGCCAGCACTCAGAAGCAGCGAGGAGACAGCTCTGGCCTCATCCAGCACACGATGGGGGCTGCAAAGCAGGTTGAGCTTTCCCTTCCAAACCTGTGCTCGATGGGTTTGTTTACAAGCCAAGAAGAGCTCGCAGAGAGACACCTGCTGCTCCCAACAGTCCCAGGAATAAACTGTACACACAGAGCTGTCGGGTTTCTCCCTACCCTGACTAAGGTGGGAACACGCTGGGCGCTGACCGCCCCCCTCGCACCCCCCGTGCGGTGTCACCGGGCGCCCCTCGGTATCGGCACGGACCTGAATGCTGCTGCATGTGGTCGAAGCGGCGCTCCCAGTCCAGCGACAGCAGCACTTCAGTTCCCGGTTCCAGCGCGGCCGGCACGAAATGCACGGCCTCGGGGCCCCGCCGGGTCACGCGAAGCACCGGCACGTCCCCGATGAGGCCGCGATCATCCGGCTGCGGACACGGGACATCAGTACCGCCAGCCCCGGCCCGGACCCCCCGCCCGGCCCAGCCCGGCCCGTACCTGCCCGCCTCCCTCGGGGAAGAGGATGGTGTCCTCCAGCACCACCTGGAACCCGGGCACCGGCTCCCCGCCACCCTCGGGCTGCAGCTCCGCCGCCCGGCACGACACCACCCTGGTGGTGAACTGAGACAAGAGACGGTGGCGCCGTGAGGGCCCGCCCGGCCTGCTTCACGCCCCAGCCCCGGTCCGGCGCTACCTGCCGGGCCCAGCTGTCCCGCTGGCACCGGAACACCATGGCGACCGCTCGGCAGAAGCCACACGGGACTGGCGGGCGCGRAAGGACAGAGACTCGTGGGGATTACGGCCGCCGTGCCGCGGGCGGGCGGAGCGGGGCGGAGCGGCGGGAGGAGACTGAGGGGCGAGGCCTGAGGGGCGAGGGGCGGGGCCTGCGAGACGAGGGGCGGGGCCTAATGGGCGTGGCCAGATGGACGGGAGCGTGGCCTGTGGGCTAAGGGCGGGGCCTGCGAGACGAGGGGCGCGGCCTGATGGGCGGGGCCTGCCGGCGAAAGGCGGGGCCTGAGGGGGCGAAGGGCGTGGCCTGCGGGGCGAGGGGCGGGGTCTGAGGGGCGGGCGCGCTCCCGCCCGTGGGGACCGAGGGAGGGACGGACAGACGGACGGTTCCCGGGATTCCGGCGCGACGGCGGCCCGAGCGCACAGCAGACGGCTGCGAGAGTTCACGTTTATTGCCCCGTGCCCCGCGCGAGTCACCGGGTACGGGAGACCGGACCGCTTTCACCGCCCACGGCCGGGAGCGCCGGCCGCGACGGGGGATGAGCTGAGGCAGCCCCGCTTCCTCGGAGAACCCTGCCCGCGCTGCTCYTCGGTTCGTGCTACCGGTGCACCGGGTGGCTTCCTGCGGCCGCGGTGAACCCGGGGGCCTGGCTTCAGTCATCCTGCGGGAGAAAGGAGCGAGGTGCCAGGCCAGCTCCGGTTGCAACAGGTGGCACCAGCCAGTTGTCCGGGGGGTGTTTCCACGCTGGCCCCAGGGTTGGCTGCCCGAGGGGTGCAGCAGGAGTTGCTGCCGGAGCCCGCGGAAGGCTGAGGCTGGGCTGTGCTCAGCAGAGCATCAGGAAGCAGCTGGCAGGTGGTACTTACATCCAGGTCATCCATGCCTGGTGGCGGGGCTTTGTCTGTCACCTTCTCCAGCATCTGGAYGGGAAATGAACAGCTGGATCCCCAAATGCCTGGTGTCCCCCTTTCCCAAGCACCCACATGATGTGCCACATCATCCTGAGGCCAGTGGCCCAGCTCACCTCTGCATACTGTTCCACCATGGCCCTCTCCACCTCCTCGTCATCTTCCCAGTCTCGCCAGTTGTCGAAGTCCACAGAGAGCCAGGCTGGCTGTGGGCACAGAGAGCATCCCCTGAGGGAGGGAGCAGCACTGCAGGGACCCGCAGCCCAGGGGCAGCTCCTGCACAGGCAAAAGGCCTTGTCAGGAAACAGGAATGTCCCTTTGCCTGCAGGCACTGGTCCTGAGTGTGTCAAGGAAAAGGGGTGCCACATCCTTCCTGGACGGCAGAAATTTGTGGATTAGTGGTGATTATCAGGTCATGTTTTTTGGGAGTTCTGTCTTGGGGACCCCTGTGGGGTGTTCTGTGCCTGTCCTGGGGGCAGGTTGGTTCCTAGGAGCCATGAGATGCTGAGTGGGGGTAGCACATGTGCTGAAGCTGGTCCTGGTTGCCAGGCCCCACACACACCTTGATGTTCTCCTTGGTGATGCGTGGCCAGGCCACTTTCTCCTTCCACTTCCTCATAAAGCACGTGATGGARCGGTCAGAGCGCTTCTCCCGTGAGTCCTGCCGAAAGATCAGGGGTGCCTGAGTGTCCACCAGGCTCTTTTCTGCACAAGAGTTAAAGCTTAGCCCTGCACACAGAACCACAGACAGGTTGTTTCTGGCTCAAGGCAGCACCGTGAGTGTCAGCCCCAGGGTGAGGGCTTTCATGTTCATCCCACTGAAGCTCTCAGGATGGGCAGCATTCAGTGTTAAGCAGTGTTGCTCAAGGCTGCACAGCTTGGCTCTGACTCTGAGCCTGACAGAAGCTGTCAGGGAACAGTTTGTTTGCAGGAAAACCTCACCTTGGAGTTGACCCTGGCGTACAGGTTGATCTCATTGTAGAACTCCACACCGTCTGCATTTTTGCAACTGCCAAAACATCATAGCAACCTGGTGTAGGAGAGGGCTGAGGCCAGGCGTGTTCTCTCACAGAGTTCTCCCTGTCCTCTGAACCACCCCCAGAGCAGATGTCCATGTCCGTCGGAAGGGCAGTATCAGCTCACCTGAACACCAGCCGCTGGTCCTCGATGGTGACCTTCACGTCCGTGCTGTCCTCGACACAGAACTCCAGGTACACGTACCGCGGGCGGTCATACCACAGCGTCTTTGCGGGTTGCCTTGGGGAAGAGCAGACCAGCGGCTATCACCAGCGGGCATTWCCCCGCAGCAGGGCCCGCACGGGGGSTRRRGGSGAGGAAGGSGCCCCGGACACGGGCTGTGCCTGGRCCGAGCCCCGGGACCGGCAGTGGGAGCCGGGCCGGTGCCGATCGGGCGGTGGGGAGTGGACAAGCGGCCACATGGCGCTCCCCTCTCCCGCCCCACACTGGCCGAACAGTCGGCGCGGCCCGGCCGGCCTGTGTCCGCTCCCCTCAGCCTGGCCCAGTTCGCCGCTGCTCCAGGCCGGAGGGTCCTGTCGAGTGGCGCCTCGGCCGGTCACCCTGCGCCGTGCATGGCTGCGGGCGCTGCCAGTCCCGTCCGGCCGTGCTCACCTCGCCATGGCGGTGCCGACCCCGCCCCAGGCTATTTCGGGCCGGGGGCGCGGCTGGGGGGACACGGGGACCGGCCGGGCCGGGCCGAGGCGGGAGCAGCCAACCCGCGGCACCGGCACCGCCCCCGCCCCGCCCGGCTCCGGGGGCTCCCCTCAGGCACCGCGCTGACCGCGAGGGGGCGCGCTGGCCCCGCCCATTGCCCCGCCCAAGCCCCGCCCCGCCCACTGCCCTGCCATGGCCCCGCCCCCGCCTCACGACCCCGCCCATTGCCACGCCCATGGCCACGCCACGCCCCCGCCTCACACCGGCAAGATGGCGGCGGCGTCGCGGCGCCGGTAGCGGTGGCTATGGAGGGGGAGGGCGGCTCGCTGGGCCCGGGCGAGCGCTGGGCGCCGGTGGGCGCCGTATCGGCGGAGGAGGAGGACGAGGATGAGGAGGACGAAGAGGCGGCGACCACGGGTGGAGGCGAGTCGCTGCCGCGGCTGCGGGCCGAGCGGCGGCGGCTGCACGGGGCGCTGCTGGCGCTCGCCTCGCACTTCGCGCAGGTGCAGTTCCGGCTGCGGCAGGTGGCCCGGGCCGGCCCGGCCGAGCAGCAGCGTCTGCTCCGCGACCTCGAGGATTTCGCTTTCCGCGGCTGCCCCGCGCCGCTTCCCCACGGTCTCGGCGCCGCCCCGGTGAGTGGCCGCGGTGGGTTTGTGGGCCCGGTATGTGGGCCTGAGCCGGCTTGAAGCCCGTTAGCGGCGGTGCGATCCCGCTGCCGAGAGGGGCTCGGGTTTGCATAGAGATCGGTACCAGCTCTGCACAGGCCCCTGATGACTCGGAGCCAGCTCGCTGGGATGTGCCCTGGAGCCCTGAGTGGTGTGTCACCACTCCACGCCCTGGCACGGCACAGGTGACTCAGAGGATCTGTGATATGTACATGTTATTGTACATGTTATTTGGCTGCTTTCTTCCTCGATCCTGGCCTTGTGGCACAGGACGTGGATGCAGGAGGTCTGGAGAGGTGCTTCCCCTCCCTTATCAGATGAGGTGATGTAGCTGTCACCTCTGCTTGGTGCTCAGACACATTTTTCTCTCAGACTGGTTTGCAGTGCTCACTAGTGAAGTACATGAGCTGCAGGAAACACTGCTCATGTCATAATCCTGTTCTCTGGTGCTTGGATATGACAAGTCTTCAATTTTATTTACTCATAACTTTCTTCCAGGGTGAGAGAGAGAARCAGGAGCAAATTGAGGTCCAGAAGGAGAAGCAGAGAGAGCTGATCCTGCAGCTCAAGACACAGCTGGATGACCTAGAGACCTTTGCTTATCAAGAGGGCAGCTATGATTCTCTGCCACAGTCTGTGGTTATGGAAAGACAACGGGTAAGGCTCACAAATCCTCCTGCTGCATTTCCTGGCCCTTGTGTAAATCTGTATTCTCACCAGCAGCTATAATAGAATGTCAGGAGTTTGTCTGCATGCATGAACTTGTCCTGTGTCTTTTGGAATTATTTCTGTRYAGCARAGGTGTTCTGTTTCTGAGAGAATCKCTGGGAAAGGAGTATCTGAAGCTCCTGGGCAGCAGTACCAGGTGGTGAAACTGTGCTGCTCACTTGTGTTTTGCAGATGATCATAAATGAGTTGATAAAGAAGCTGGACATGGACTTGAGTGAAGATTTTGCAACTCTCTCTCCAGAGGAACTGCGACAGCGKGTGGATGCTGCCATAGCACAGATTGTGAATCCAGCCAGGGTGAAGGAGCAGCTGGTGGAACAACTGAAAACCCAGATCAGGGACCTCGAAATGTTCATCAACTTCATTCAGGGTCAGTGATGAGTTTTTGAATGAGCAGGGTGAATTGCTTTGTAATTCCCTGATGTAGGCTTGAGGAGGGAKGTCACAGATGTTGGGAGATGCAGGAACAGCTTCTGGGTCACAGGAAAGTACAAACCTCTCTAAACTGATGGTGAGGAAAAGCATCAAAATAGGTCCAGAGGGGTGTGAGGAATGTTGTTCTTATTACTTGGGATATGCAGCTGAAATTCACAAATGTGAAATAATGATGGGAAATCCTATTTGTAGATGAAGTTGGAAGCTCTGGCAAGGCAGAAGATGGACACTGTGACTGTGGAGGCTCCTACAAACCCAGCACCCGGCCTTCTGGGAACAGAGGTGGGCACCGCTGGGCTCAGTGTTGTCGACAGAGCTCCAGCTCCTCCCTGGGGCTTTGACAAGCATGAACCAGTTATTCTCTGCTTTTTTCTGGCAGCTGATCTCTGTGCTTCTGCACTCCCTCTGCTGAAGGCCTGTTCCTTTACCTGCCTTCCATGGGATGCTCAGAGTAGTCACAGCCTGACTGTGTGGCACGGAGGGTGGGCTTGGTCCTCAGTGGGGGTCAGGAAGAGCCTGCTGATATTTGGTGCAAAATATATGGTAATTTGTGCTTTTCAAGCTCTGACCTCTGTGAGCAGGTACAGTSAGCTGGGGTGATCCAGTGTTCTTTAGAGTTTGAGACTTCCCTCTTTATCTCATGAGCCTACTGGAAATACAGTAATGCAGCATGAGGCATCTGCTGCTAGTCAGAATGTTGGCCTGATGGAATCTGCAGACATTTGCACCCCCTTTTTGTGTATGAACAAGCAGACTTGTTGACTCCCTAATGAGAGCATGTTTTTCTCTTTTCTAACYCGGTCAGTGAACCCAGAAGATGCCAGAAGGATGCAGGAAACGGGCCTGCAGCTCATGCGCCGTGTGCTGGCCGTGCTGCAGATCTTTGCTGTCAGCCAGTTTGGCTGTGCCACGGGTCAGATCCCTCGCACCCTCTGGCAGAAGGACCAAGACAACCAGGACTTCTCCCCCTTAATTAAGAAACTGGAGCTGTCGGTGGAGCGGGTGAGGCAGCTTGCCCTGAAACACCAGCAGGCAGAGCACGTTATCTGCTCCTCTGAGCTGCAGGAGATTCCCCTTGGAGGCAGAGACGAGCTGACCCTGGCTGTGCGCAGGGAGCTGACGGTGGCTCTGCGGGACCTGCTGGCTCAYGGGCTCTACGCCTCTTCCCCAGGCATGAGCCTGGTGTTGGCCCCCATCGCATGCTTGATTCCCGCCTTCACGCCCTCACCACGGACCATGCACCCCTGGGAACTCTTTGTCAAATATTACAATGCTAAGAATGGACAGGCCTTTGTGGAATCCCCAGCTCGCAAGCTGTCCCAGTCCTTTGCCTTGCCCGTGACGGGAGCAGTGGTGGCCACCCCCAAGCAGAGCCTGCTGGCYGCCATCCACACGGTGCTCACGGAGCACAGCCCCTTCAAGCGCAGYGCAGACTCGGAGCTGAAGGCACTGGTGTGCATGGCGCTGAACGAGCAGCGCCTGGTCTCGTGGCTCAACCTCATCTGCAAGTCTGGAGCTTTGGTTCAGTCTCACTACCAGYCCTGGAGCTACATGGCCAGCACAGGCTTCGAAAGTGCGCTCACCCTCCTCAGCCGCCTGAGCAACTTGAAATTCAACCTCCCGGTTGACCTGGCTGTTCGGCAGCTGAAAAACATCAAAGATGCTTTTTGATGTGTTTTTAATGTAGATCATCCATTTTCCACTAGTAGGCAGCTGTTGGGCTCAAGAAGCCTGGCTTTTGTAAGACCAAGTTTGTCTCTTTGGTATTTGCTTTTAGGGAAATCTTAGGGTGTCATGATGCTGAAGTGTGTTGTCTGCAGAGCGGCTGGAGGGTGCAGGTTGGGCAGCACCTTGCCTTGTCCCTTCCCTGCTGCTCTTGAGCCAAACTGCCTTGCTCAGTAGCCAGTGACTGTTCAGGGATGGGGCAGAGGCCTGGCCACAGGGCTTACAGCCGTCAGGGCCCTTGGGACTTGCAGCTGAGCTCCTTTGTGGTTATTTCTCACAGTCTCTGCTCTGCACCGTGCACACACACGATCCCTCATGGAGGAGGGAGCTGGCAGGTGTTGAGGGTTGCCCAGTCACCTGGGACTTACCTCCCCGGGGTGGATGCAGGAGAAGATGTGGGCAGATCCAGAGGTGCCCGGGGGCTCCTGCAGCGGCTCCACCAATCTGTGTCCCTTGGGCTGCCGGGGCGCTTTGTCCACCGGACCCAACTATTTGTTCCAGGCTTTTGTGCGGGGGTCAGCGCAGCCCCGTGTCCTGCGGGGTCTATTAAATACCGCTGTAGTACCTGTGGGCCAAGCTCGCTGCCGTGCCGTGTGCTCTGTCCGTTACCGGGGCTGTGGCGCGGCGCCCGTCGTGCCCGGGGAGGGGCCGTGGGGTGGGGGTGGGTGAACCGGCACTGCCGTG